AATGGAGGATGAAAAGATGACAGTTTCTTAGGGTGAAGCTGTCAGCCATGCTGATCTGTAGAATATATATATATATATATATCTTTGTTTCTAAACTGTAACAATATATGTGTATCATAGCCTTTTTTAAAAAGAATCTAGCGCAGCAAATATTATTATGGAGAAGTAACCATGATGAATTATTTTTGTAATTGTATTGAATTTTGTTTTAAATACCCTTCTGCCGTTTTCTTGGATTGCCGGATTCAGATGTGATGCAGCCAGGAAACAACAGGCTGCTTCTGCCTCTGGTGGGTGGCCTCTTGAAGAAGTGTTGCCTTCTACCAAAACAGAGTTTATAGTATTGGAATTAAATTATTAATAACACTAATGCTTGTCTGTCTCCTGCGCTCCTCTGCAAAACAAGCAGAAGCAGAAGCTGTTGAGAAACAAGAAGCATTTCCTCCCGCAGTCCTCTGTGCAGGGGCCGCCAGAGCCCTCCGGCACCCTGGAAAGCCTCAACCCCCCTTAAAGACCAGGAGAGACAGTTGGGGGGGAGGTTGCCGTGGGCGAAGGGCCCTTTTTGTAACAGCCAAGAGTGGCTCTGCAAATCCGCTCTCTCCAGAGCCTAGAAGCCCGGCCTGTCTCTGTCCTTCCAGTTCTTCTAACCGATGATTGGGCCTCTTCTCAAGTGCAGAGAAGTCCGTGGTGCTTGCTTGTCTTCCGAAGGCTGATTCCTTTCTCCCCCTGCCCTTCTCTCGGTTAGCCTCTTTCAGAGCCAGGCCTTATTTTGGGGCCCAAAGTGCAGGCCTTTTGCCCTGATGCGGCCTGGCGAGAACCACCTGAAGGATGAGCATCCGTGTGCTCTGGCCCTCTCTTGAGGCAAGCAATTTGGAGACTCCCCCCGCATGGCTCTTTGTCCTCTCAGCAATGGGCTGAGCTACACGGGCTTCTTGCGGCTAAGAGACCAGCCCCTTTTCTGCCTCCATGGGACATGGCTGTGTCAGGAGAAAAGGCCCACCTTCCCCCCACCCAGAGCAGATAACCAACCCCGGCTGCAGCCATCTCCTTCGGGGTGGTGGGATTGCAGCTTCTCCAGGAAGAGCTGCTGGCTCTCTTAGAAGCCAAGGGATGGAGATCCTTGGGCCAGGTCTTGGCAGCTTGACAGACTGCAGGGCGGGAGTGACCAGGTTCGTGCCCAGGCTTAGCAGTGTTTAACCTGAAACGGGTGATGGGGGTCAAAACATTTTCCAGTGTGTTGTTTTTCTCTCTCTGCCTTGGCGATTCATACTCTCCCAGGCACCTCCCTTTTTTTTGCCCAGGAACTCGCTTGGAAGAGAGAGAGAGAGATGTCCTTCTGGTAGAAATGCCAGCGGGTTTCCTTGATAAAGGCCAGCCAGGTTCCAGCCCCTTCCCTGGAGAGGCTCTGTATGCAGACCCATGGAGGTCCAGAGATATGGAGACTTCCACAGTGGGCAGGGTCCTGTGGAGAAGCCATCCTGGTCCTGGAGCCGGTGAACAGCTTGTCAAGGAATGTGCTCTTTGTGAAGTATTCTGTCTTGTGAGCCGGCCTAGGTACATAGATGCTCTGTGACATTTGTACAATCTGATTTTTGTAAATCAAGATCCATTCACTAGACCCAAATCTTTGTTATCAATGAAATTTGCCAGCGCTTTATAAAAATGCTATAAAATGTAAATATTATTTGAAAAGGGATTTGTATATATTGTACTGGTATTTTTACAGTGATTTTTGGTTGCATGGGTGTTTGCTCTTTTTTAATCACACTTGCGTCTTCCAACAATGTCCAGACTTGAGAGACGGATCGTTGTACTGCTGGCATTAAATGATGCAGTGATTTTAAAGGTTGCCACCCAGCTTACTTTGGTATGGAGTTATTTCAAATATTCCTGTGGTGAGGCAGAAGGGTGGGCTCAGCCGTGCTCCTCTTTGTAGCTTTGCAGCCACAGCAAAATGCTTTGCAGGGAAGAGAAGGGATGGGGGAAAGGGCCAGGGAAAACTGACCTTGGAAGAACCAGCAGCCTAAACCCTGCGGGGTGGGTGGGGGGGGGGGAGCGCTGCCTGAGAAGTTGGAGGCAGCCTTGCTTGAGTCCCAACAGTTGAGGCCAGGAGACCCTTTTCCCGAGAGACGGTAGCTGCCGTTGTAGGTTTGAGCAGAACCAGGGGAGCTGCCGGATGCCATGAGCACAGCAGTGGCACTTGCCATCCCTCTGATGGTCTCCCTCCACCCACCCACCCCTTTTAGGCCTGCTGAGCTCAGAAAGGCCGCGTAGGCAGGGCCACCAAAGCCTCGGGCAGGTCACGCACTGCCCAATCCTAAGAATGAGGGGTCAGCAGGTGCAGGAGGCCGCGTGGGCGTTGCGGGAGAGGCTAATCTGGAGAAGAAGCGAGCAATCTCCCCTGGGTGATCCACTGTCCCGGCCTTGGTCAATGTGCTGCCCTTGGGAGCAGCCTCCAGTGGTGGGAAACCCTTTTCCTCCTTGCACACGGGGGGGGCGGGGGGGCGGAGGCAGGGCTGCTGCAGAACTGGGGAGAGTTGTCTGGCTCTCCTGACCCATTGCTTCCCCAGTGGCAGCTGCAGAGACGGGCACCCCTGTTGCCTTCCTGGTATTGTGAGCTTGTATCCCCTACTTTTAAAAACAAAACACGTAGAATGGCCTCAGTGCACGTCTGGGCGGGTGTCCTTTGGTCTGTTGTGACAGGATGGGTCCCAGAGGAATTCATGAGACTCCCACTGCCTCACCACCCGTCAAAGGTGAGGAGGGCATTCATGCTGGGCTTGGGAAGGGCCGCTTGTGGCCAGAGGCAGCCTGGACTTGACCAAACTCCAAGGCTAAGCTGTACTGGAAGAGCCCTCCCCCCCCCCCCCCAGAAGCTCCTCCTGCTGTGGGTTAGCAGCTAGGCAGTTCTTGCAGGAGGAGGGGGGTCCTTCCCTCTCCCAGGGAAGATCCTGAGTCAATGAATCTTGGCAGTCAGCCTGGCCATGCAAAAGTGGGAAACCCAAAATAGGGTTTCCAGCCAAAGTGAGCTCTTCTCCCTTCCCTCTTTCACCCTCATACCTCTGAGATCAGCCATTTTCACAAAATAAATCATTTAACTTTGGGGAAAAATAATAAAAAATCAGTTTTTAACAAAACAATTCAATGGGAAACAGGACCACATACAGTTTTTCAAGATGACCACAGGAGGGCGCTGGCCACCCGCATGGAGTCGATTCCTAAATTCCAGAGAAATGGCAACCACCTTCACTACTATAATGGCAACATGTTAAAATGAAAACCAGTATTGGGTCTGCAGCGTTAAAGGCCAGGATCCTGTTTCTCTACAAAGAAAGAATCCTGGACTTGGATAGAACCGGAAGCAAATGCATTGAGCAGGAGTTGAACTAGAAGACCTTGAAGGCCCTGTCCAGCCCTAGAGTCTAATCTACCTTCTTGTACGAGAGGCCCATCTTCAGCACTAACATAGCTGCCCCATTGAACCGAGAAGCTAAAAAAAGCACTAATTTATATGACCCTGACTCCCTCTATTAACACTGCTGAAATCAATTTAGAAAGAAAGGATAGAAATTGCCTGCCTGCTTGCAAACTGCCTGCAGAGTCACTGGTTGTGAAATCTGGAAGTGAGCAAAGGTGGGCTGGGTCACCGGGAGGCTCAGCTTCTGCAGAGGACACCAGGGACGGCCTGGGGAGCAAGCGATCCTCTTGAAAAGCACTTTCTCCAGCTGAGGCAGGGAGCCTGTTTTGGGGTCTGGGATCTTACAAGACAAGGAAAGCCAGGAGAAGATGGATGGTGAGCCCTCCTGACCCTCCTCAGGGGCATGAGAGTCAGCATGGCCCTTCCCATTAAGCCTCTGCCACGACAGGAATGCCACAAGGCCCAGGGCAGGGCAGCCTTGGCAGGGCCGGAGCACAGTGCTCCCCCCCCCCCCATGCCAGAGATGTCACCAAATTGGGAGTCTGGGCTGAGAGGCATCAAGAGTATCAAGAGCCTTTCAAAGCACCGGAGAAGGGCAACAAGACGCCCAAGGCTGCAGTTGGTGGTTTGGGGGTTTGTTCCATTTTGGCTCCAGACTGATCTGGGGGACAAACCGAACGGGGCCTTCCCTGAATATGCTGAACACGCTGAAGCCGCTCCTGTCTGTTTATTTGATTCATGTACAGCTGCCCTTCTCACCACAGCAACTCTGGGTGGCCAACAGTACATAAGAACAATAAAACATCTGCAAAACTCAACAATTACCCTTGACCCAGATGCATTTACACATACACAGAAACGTCATCCCATCGTATTTGGACACTAAGCTATAATTCACCTCACTATAAAACAAAAGTGAAGTAAGTTAATTTGTTAACTTTGGGACTGCACATTATACAATTAACATTATATACAGATTGGGATTAAAGTTTTTATGTTTTGCAGCAAGGAACTGTTCAATTTGGGTATCTTTTGGGAAGCATATTTCAACATACATTAAGTAGGTGGTTGTGAATGTTTTCAAGTAACATTTGTCAATTATTTTGAGCTACATTATGAAACTGTGGGAGCCGATCACGGGTGTTTCTGAGGGGTTTATTGGAATAGCCAAGAGAATTTATTGAGAGATTGGGAAATGCTCCGTAGCAAAGATTGTATTAAGGAAGTGTGATTTATCCATTTTTGAAAAGACCTTTTTCCTCATTTTGGGAATACCATTTCATAATTAATCTGTTGAACATAGGTTTTTTTACACGTTTTGTATGCCAGGGGATTTAGGGGGGGGGGGCATTTCTTTTTTAAATTTTCAATAAGAATTTTTTTGAAGAGGAGGAGGAAGAGTTGAGGTAAAAGTCATTTCCTAGAGCAGCCCATGAAAAGGAGCCCCCAATGCCAACTGGGCTCCCCTCCTGCCCTTGTCCAGCACTCCCCCTCATGCCAACCCCCCCTGGAGAAGAAGCCCTTTCTTGGGAGGTGGGGAGGGCTGTGGGCATCTAGGCCAAGGGAGCACAAAAGGGCCCAGCTGGACTGGCTGGCAGGTCCCTCCCCTCTCCAGCCTCTGCCTGTTTCCAAATAAGGGCACAAGGCTCAGAGGCTCCAGTGTCTGCCGTGGGAGGGGGGGGGAGGCCCCGGGCTTCCCTTTGCAAGCATCTTCCCTCCCTCCCTCCCTCCCTCCCTCCCTCCCAGGCAGGCAGTAGCTGGTACACATTGACTTGCAGAGACAGTAATGGCAAGGGGGGGGGAACGTGGGGAGCCATATGCACAGACATCTGCGGGGCTTGGGAGGAGGCCTTCTACAGCCAGATAATGCTGGGGGATCCAGCAGCTACAGGGAGGACTGGATGGAGGGCTGCTGCAGGCCCAGCTGCCGGGACCTCCCCTTACTGGCGGATTGTGCAGACCTCCCCCACTCCCCTCCCCCACTCCCGCATGGAGGAAGCACAAAGTGCTGCTGAACTCCTGAAGCAGCTTCTAACCCAGAACCCCCCCCCCCCCCCCCCCCCCGGCCCCCAGCGGGGTGGGGGCAGGGGGGGGGGGAAGAGAATTTTATTGTGGGGCGGCGGCCCAGGAGAGCCTGTCATCCACCAGAGAGAGGTTCAAAGAGACCTTCCGGCAGGGCGGAGGAGGAGGAGGAGGCTGAAGCCGCGGAGCCACTCCATCCTATTGGAGGCAGGGAGACGGCGGCAAGTCGTTTCAGCAGCCCAGCCTCGTCTCTGCAGCCCTCCAGCATCCCTGTCACGGTGGGACTTTGGGGCCCTGGTCCATGTTCCTCTGGCTGCTGGGGCTTGTCCGGCGGAGAACG